ATGAAAAATGGATCGAAAATGGTCAAACTAATTGTATTGATAAATCTGATCAAGGTTCTTCTTTATCATGAAAATGATTTATTCTCTAATTAATATCAAATTTAATAAATGAATAAAAGTATGCACGTGTACGTGATTCACGTGAAAATTTCAAAACAATTTTTTTTTTGTTACTTTTGAATTATTATCTAATTTAAATGTTTATTTAATTTTTTCAAATTATTTCAATTTTTTTTTTTAGATCTTGATTACATTGCTGTATTTGGTATTAAACGTGGTACTAATCGATATCAAAATTTACAATTTATAAGTAATACATCGGATAATTTGAATGATATGATGATTAGCACTCAACAATTTATACCATCTTGGCTTCAATTTGTTTCCCCATCAGCATCATATCATGGTTTGATTGATCATACTGATCATGGATCTATATCGATGATCACAAATGATTGGAAGAATGATAATGCAATCACTCAATCAACAACTACACAATTTATCTTTCAAATACCAAATAATAACAATGATAATAATGATAATAGTAATAAAAGTTCGAATGATCAACATTTTAAATTATCAAATTTTGATCCTACAATAGTTGGATTTATCAATAAATCAGAAAGTAACAGTAATAATTTTAATTTTACACAAATAAATCATTTGATGCAAAAAAATTTGCAAAATTTTACCACTGGAATTGATAAAAATCAAACAAGGTATAATTTTTCAAATTCTTTTTCTAATTTCTAAAAATTTATTTAATCACTATAAGAATCAAATATAAATGATTTTTAATCTACTTTTTTTTTTTACTACTAATCGTTATTGTTAAAATGCTATAATAATAATAATAATAATAATAATAATAATAATAATTTTATCATCATTGTCTTGATGAAAAATTTAATGAAACAAATTTTAGAAAAATTATAAAACTCAATAAGCAGAGCATTAGCAAATCCGATAAGTTGGTAGAAAAAAATGATAAAAAAAAAGTTAGTTAATAACTATAATATTAATGAAATATTATTATCAGTTAAATTTTCCAGTACTATTCGAATCAGTAACGATAATGGAGATAATAAATTAGGATATAATGGTATCTTAAAACAGGATAATATCATTGTATCAAATAATATTTCATCATCATCATTATCACCATCATTATCATCATCATCATTATCATCATCATCATCGCCATCATTATCATCATCGTTATTGCCATCGTTATCACCGCCATTAGCACCATCGTTATCATCATCATTATCATCATCGTTATCACCATCATCATTGCCATCAAACAAGATAACGAATCAAAATAATATGTTCAATTCTTCTATAAAAACGATATCAAATAGTGTTGAAAATAGAGCAATAATATCAAAGGAATTAGAACAAATGCAATCATCAAATTTATCAAAACAACAACGAGAGGAACAGATTATCAGTACCTCACAAAATGGTAATCTCTTTCTCTCTCTCTCTCTCTCTCTCTCTTTCCTTCAAGAAGGCAATTCATTATGTTATATTATCAATAATTCTTATGTTATAATTAAACAAGCAATTTTAAAAATTATTAGATGATTTGGCTAATCTTATCACCAGTACCACAACTTATCACTTATCACCGGATCAAATTGCTTGTGCTCGTTACGAATATGCTGAAGCACACCGTTTGGTACCAGAACCATTATGCACCTGTCCACCAGGAGAAATGCCCGGTGGTAATCATTCAACATGTAAAGGTATATATTATTTAATAATCAAATCATTTTCTTTCAATTTTTTAATTTTAATTTTAGTAATTTAAAAAAATTTAAACGTTTATTATTTTTGATAGTGTAGAAAGAAATTGCTAAATTTCAAATTTAAACTTACCAATTATACAATCAAAATATCTGATAAAGTAATTATATTAAATTCTGATTACAATTATTCCATGCAGTTACATTTAGCTGTGATGCAAAATAAAATAATGTAACATGTGAAAAGTAAAAGTTATCAGAAAATATTGATAATTTTATTTTCTTATCAGTAATTGATAAGAAAAATTTCTAATCAGTAATTATGTTAATTTCTTAGCAACTATTATATCAACATTTGGTATAGATGTAAGTAATATGTGCGGTGGTATGGAAACTATTCCGGAAGAGCGATCACGGCTTGCTATTTTAGTGGTTGGTTCTTTTTTTTAATTAGTTTTTTAATTAGCTAATTAAGTAGTCAAATTTATTGTTGCTAATTAATTAGTCTGACTTCTAAAATTTTTTAAATTTGAAACAGAAAAAAAAGAAGTGAGAGAATGAATATTTATCAAAATGCATTTCAATTGAATCACACCTGATTATCTTATCAGACTTATGTCCGGCATAATGATCATTATCACTGATTATTTAATAATTTATAATTCGAGATGTTCTTTTTTTTCAAATACAAGCATAAACAATAGAGAGAGAGAAAGTGAACATTTATTGAAATGTATTTCAGTTGAATCGTACCGGATTACCATATCAGGCCTGCGTCCGGCGTGATGGTCATCCGGTTATGGTGCAACTTGATTGCTCACAATGTACTGTTAAAGAATTTGATGATGCTTTTAAACAAAATTCCAATGATCAATATGTACCTTTACGTATAATGGGTAATAATTAATTGTTGCTAATTAATTAAAAATATGAAATGATTAAATAGCTAATTCAAATAATATATTATTATCATTTATTAGCTTTTTAAAGTGTTTAAATTTCCTTTTTTTTAAAAAAAAAAAGACTATAATATTTAAATTTTAATCACTTTTCTCATATCACAAATCAAATTTTTTCTTAATCACTTCTAATTTTTATTTGTAATTTTATCGTATAAATTATACAATTATCAATGATAATTCTTTTCCTAAATAATTTATTTATTTACAAATTCAATAAAATAACAGTTTCTATTCGAATATTTGATATTAAATATTTTTTTTTTCAAATGACATTTGTTAAAATATTTGATATTATAATTTTTGATTGTAAAAAATGAATTAATAATATATTCGAGATCATGTTTATTATAAAAATTGTAGAACTTTCTGTTGGCGCTTGTTTGACATCAGCGCTTAATGATTGTGATCCAGAACATGCTGATTGTTTAATGAATGGTCCTCGATATGAATGTCGCTGTCATGATGGTTGGAATGATACATCAAAAAATTTTGGTAAAGCAGAAGGAAGACGATGTGAACAATTAATTTTACTTGCTGATGGGTAAAAAATTTAAAATCATTTTTTATTTTCAAATTTCTAAAAAATTACTAATAATTTAATCAATTAATTTAAACATTTATCAAATTAATTTTGATTTTATTTATTTATTTTTTAATTTTTTCAATTAATTTCTAGATGTATTTTATTTTATGGTTATTGTTTATTATGGTGGCTTCTTTTATTTGGTATTAGTTTCATTTTATTATTATTATTATTGTATTGGTTAGGTTCTAAATTATATAAATTATGCAAAAAACGACGAAGACGAAATGTTATAGAGGAACAGGTATCAAATTTATTTTATATTTTTTTTTCTTTTTTTTTTATTTAAATTAATTTTTATTTTGTTTTATTTTTTTTCCATAATTTTTCATTTTATTTATAGGGTCATTTGGTTACATCGGAAGTTAGTTCAATCAAAAATAGCAATGCTAATGATAATAAATTAGCAATAATCGAATCAATCAATATGAATAATAATCCAAATTCTATTGATACAATTAGTGTAGCAGCAGATTGTGACGAAAAATTAGCAACAACAACAACAACAACAACAACAACAACAGCAACAACAATAATTGATAATAAATGTATTACTAATTCTATGCAAAATGATAAACAAAATGCAACAAAAAATGCAGAAAAAATTTTAATCAAACAAGAAAGTGTAAAATCATTGAATTTAATGGAAAAAAATGATGAAAAACAACAAACAAAAGTGCAATCAGAAAAATTGGAGCAAACTTCTGATCAATTAAAATGTTAGTTAATTACTGATATATTATAGTTTAATACGAATATAAATATTAATTTAAATTTCCTCTTTTCTTGGTTTTTTTTTTTTTTCTTTGATAGCTATGATTGATTAGAAAAAAATTAAGCTGATTAGTTGTTGATAAAAAAATGAGTTAATTAAATGAGATAGAATACATAATATTTTTTAAAATTTTATGGTTAAAACAATTAAAAATTATTTGCATAAATTGTGAGTAATTGAAAAAAAAATAATTTAAAAAATAAAAAAAGCAACAAATGGATATTTTTTTTATTGCTTTGTATTTTGTAGTAATTTTTTTTTTAAAGGAAAAATCTAGAATAATTATTTTAACAAATAATTATTTAGTTCCTTTTTCATTTTTAATTAATTAATTTTTAAATAATTATTCATCTTTTCTTTTTCGTTTATATTTTTAAATTCGTAGGTTTAAAAAACAAAAAAAAAACCTTTTTTTCTACTTCCACGCTTTTTTTGCTAATTTTAATTTCATATAGGGAAAAAATTTTCTTTTTTTTCTTATCTAATACATCATTTATTTATTTATTTACTAATTTTAATTTCATACAAAAAAAAAAATTCTCTTTTTTTAACCTAATACATTATTTATTTGTTTATTTATTTATTGACTTACATTTTCATTGCTAATTTTAATTTAATGTAGAGAAAAAAATTTCCTTTTTTCTTTTTTTTACCTAATATATTATTTACTTATTTTGTTTGTTTGCAGCTGAAAGAGTGAAAATTGAACAAAATGAGCAAAAATTATCAATGAATCAACATGCTAAGATTAATTCATCAATTTTATCAAAAAATAAATTAATGAGGAAAACGTTATCAGATGATCAAAATGAATCAATCAATGAATCATTGGAAACATCAAAGAATGCAACAATAAATCAATCACAAAAATTTACCGAATTAACACAAAATTATGATGATGAAAAAATGTTGAAAAATGTTGAAACTATGGAAGCTACAAATTCAAAAGTGATGGTAAAATAGAATAGTAAATTGATGTGAACAAATTTTCCTTTCTTTTTGTTTTATTAATTTTTGTGTAAAAATGTTAATTTGTTAAAGTTTTGTAAGAAAAAAAAAAATTAATTATTACTACACATATTGTTATTTTAGGTAAGATTAAATTATTGCAAAAAATAAAATTTTTAAGAAAAGAAAAATTATTTTAATTTTTTAAAATTTTTTTTTTACAATGAAATTAATAAAATTTTGCAGAATATCAGTCAGTCAGTATCGGAAACATCACTACGTACAATGTGGGAATTATTTAAGCAGGGCACATGGAAACAATCATCCAGACCTAGTTGTTAGTTCGTTTAATTGGTGCAAAAAAAAACAAAAACAAAAACAAATAAGTTTAAATTGAACAGAGAAATTAATTTTTTTTTAATAGGTTTAAATTTATGTATAATTTCTACTATTATTAAAATTTTTCTCTTATTTTTTTTTTGCAGATTGTAACTTATGTTATATTTATATTTAGCTATTTTTTTTTTTAAGTATTATTAATTGCTTAAAATTTATACCTTCTCTCTTTCTCTCTTTCTCTCTCTCTCTCTCTAGTAAAAATGCACATATATTGATTTATTGCTTTCGTTTAAAGTTAATTATTTCAAATAAAATTTTTGTCATTTCAATCTAAATGTTATTGTTTGTAATGTGACAAAAAAAAAAGAAAAAAAACAAACAAATTAGAGAAGTATTTGAAACTTTTTTCTACTTCAATAATTTATTTCAAATTTCATTTTTTCTACTAAAAATAGAAAAATGGAACAAAAAACAAGAAAAAAAAACAGAAACTTTTTGTTAGTTAAATAGTAAACAAATTTTTACAAAAAAAAAAAAAAAAAAAAAAAAATTTCTTTGGAGCTATCAAATCTTCAACATCATCATTGGATCATCTTATCGATGTATTCTTATGCCGAAAACGAAACAAGAAAATTCATCCGGATACTATCACAATATCAAATGATCCGGAATATCCGTTAAATATTATTAAAATATCAAATTCTACAAATGCTGATACTATTCCATCAATTTCACCACTTTCTCATCTATCAAATTCGGCATTTACGACAGCTATCACATGTTGTAGTATTAATACTGCAACAACAACAACAATAACAACTGCAACAACAACAACAACAACAAATGATTCAATTAGCTGCTATTACTCGACTAATAATATGGAGGAGCAATTATTTACTGCAACTGGAAAAGTACCAATGCAAAGTCAATTATTGGAGCAAAAAATTATAACTGAAACAAAAACATTAACAACAAAAAGTACCATATCATTGTTACCACAAGAATTATCACTGTTATCACTGAAGAATACATCGTCAGTACAATCAATGAATCCTACTCCTACTACTACTACTATCATATCAGATCGATTAGAATTTACTAAAGTTGATCAGCAATCAATATTAAATGATGCTAAAAAAGATTCAATTGATAATGCTACTACAACTATCAATGAAATGACGCAACAATGTATGATTGATAGAAATCAGAAATTATCAGTGATTGAACAAAATGAAAATAAAATAAAAGGTATATTGAAATAAATACAAAATGTATATTTTAAAATTTGCATAAATTATGCTTATTTCAAAGTTTAATTTAATTCTTTTCTTTTTCTTTGCTTTGTTTTGCTTTTTTTCGTTTTTTTTTTTAGATGAAATGGATACTAAATTATCAACAACTACTATTGTTACCAGTTCAGATAAACAATTGAAACAATGTACCAGCAGTACAGAGCAATCCATTTCTAGTAAAACACAATCTGAGAATGATAGCTGTGATATGATAACAATGATAAAAAATGATAATGATAATGATGATGATGGCGATGGCGATGATAATTTAAATGAAAAGATGCTATCAACAAATGATGAATTAAGAAATACATTAAAAGAGGTTATGAAGATGATAAATGATAAATTTTTTTACTTTTTTTTTTGTTATTGTGTTTTTTTTTTAGTGAAAAAAAGTTTTTTTACTATTGAAGTTTTTTTATTATTTTGAAGAAAAATTTATTAAAATAAAAATTAGGCATAGAAATGGTGTTCGTTTTCTTTTTATTTTTGTCTCATGAAATTTTTGGAAAAAAAAAAATAAATTATTATTATAGGTAACATCAACAAAACCACCAATTAAACGACTCACTGAGAAGCAAAAAGAGAAATTAAGTGCATCATGTGGACATTTGCATATTCAAAGTGATGATGAAATGAATAGAAAAGGTAGGTAATATAATTGAGAAAAAATTCATTCTGTATCCTATTTATTTACTTATCAATTTAATAAAGTTAAGTAAACAAACCAATTACTATTATTATTATTGTTATTGTTTTTGTTATTATTATTATTACTATTACTATTATTATTAATATTATTATTACCATTATTATTACTATCATTATTATTAATATAATTAATGTAAGAATGAAATGAAATTAATAGAATCAATTGCTATTATTATTATTACTACTATTATAGGTGATGGTGGTTCTATTCGACAATTTTTAGCAACTGCAAGAAATGAATCACGACGAAAACTTTCAAGTATATCAGAAAAAAGCACTGAAATGATGAATGGCGGAAATCAATTGATATCAGCGCCAAGTAGTATCAGTTGTCCAACAACTACACGCAGAAGCAAAGGTTTTGATATTAAATGATTATAATAAATGATAGTTTCTATAATGAAAACTTAATAATGTTTATATTGTAATATATATTTCGTTGTAGCTAATAAATTTAATTTTTTATCATTTTAGGCTTTTTTATCACTTTCAATTAGATATCTCTAAATTTTTTAATCAATTAGAAATTACTTATTACTTATAGGAATAAATAATATTGATTTGTAATTTACTTATAGGAATAGATGGTTTGCAATTACTTATAGACAATATTGATTTGCAATTACTTACAGACAATATCGCTTTGCAATTACTTATAGATAATATTGATTTGGTTGCAATTACTTATAGACAATATTGATTTGCGATTACTTATAGGCCAATTTACTTATAGGAATAGGTAATATTACTTTTGTAGATTATAGACAACTACCACGTACATTACAAAGACATCGTGATAATGCTTACGGGGTATGGAATTATTTTTTCGCAGATTTAATGGCATCATTAACCGAAGAGCCAACAACTAATATCAATGATTGTGCAAAAACAATACCAAATAATAATGGTACAACAATACGAAATGCTAGCAGTAAGCATTCTCATTAATCATAAATTAATGAAAAAATAATTAATAATTCAATTTATTTATAGATTGGAGTAAATTAGAGCAGAATCAAATTAATGCTAAACTGAAACATAAAACTGGTAGTAATATAAGTCAACATTCAATTGCTATTACTGATAAACAACGTCCACCGTGGAATTTTTCACCATTAAAAGATGGTTAGTACTTGTAATAAATAGATAATTAGAAAATTTTGAAAATAAATATATCATATTTGATCTACAATGATCATTTTATGTTATCAAATGATGCATATATATATGTTTGATAAAAAAATTAAAATCTAATTTTATTATTAATCATTTAAATTATTTGAAAATTATTTTAACTAATAAGCAATTTGTATATTTTCAACTTTTATTCGTCATCTTTCATATATGTATATGTGACAAATGACAAATATTTGATTATGATTAAAAAATTTAAGCATTTATTATTCTTTCACAAATACTAATAATATTGTTTGAGGTAATTTGGATCGTATTGCGCCACTTCAACCTGTTTTTTCACATAGCAATCAGCCGCGCAAATGGCTTTCAGCATTACATCTTAACGACGATAAATATGCTACAGCTTTACAGTCCAGTAGAAGAAATATTAGTGAACGTCGACAAAGTGATTGCAATTTACGTGATATTTCACATTTACGTATGACACGTGGATCACATTCAGCACGATTGCATACACGTTTAACATCTGCTAAAATGTCACGAAATATCAGTGGCGTAAAATGGACACCAAATGATATCAATAATCAACCAATAAAAGAACAATTATGGTGGGGTAAATAACAAAATAAAAAAAAAAAAAAAATTTAATAAATTTGCCTTTATCCACTTAATTTAATTAGTGCTTTCATATCAGGGAAGATTTCTGATAATTATTATCACTGCAGTGTTATATTTGTCATGAATTTGTTGATTATAAATATGTTTGGTATTTATATTTTGTATTAATAAAATGATAGTAATACTTATGTTCAAAACAACTAAACATTTCATCAATTCCATATGCTTTTAAAAAAAAAAATTTTTTTTTTGAATAAATCAGCAAATAATATTGAAATAGAAATATTAAAATAAAAAAAAAAAAAAAAAAAACATCATGCACATTATTAACATATCTAAAAATTTTACTTGCATTTTCTAAGCGAAATGAATCAAATTAATTAATAAATCTTTTATAGTTTAAATATTAAAATACACTTTTGCAATTAAGTTCTGCGCAAAAATTCATCAGCAAAATTAATAAAACTTTCAACTAACAATGGCTTAAATTCAATTTAAGAATTAAATTAAATTTTATTTCAAATTTAAATTTTGAATTTTTTAGAAAATTTAAAATTTGTAATAGTTTTCGTACATTAAACAAGGAAATTGATTCTAAGCCAATTTTTAAGTACTTTAGGACAAGGGAATGAATTTTAATGATATTTCATTTCAATAATTAAATTTTTAATAAAATGATAATTTATAGCAAGAAAATTTTCTCTATTAATGATAATTTATCAATGAAAAAATTTTCTTTCATGAAATTATCATCGTAATTATCAATCGTTCATTCTTTCAGCTATCAATGTTCAATGTTCGTTTGAAAAAATTTAATTGTATCGCAGAACAATGTGATCTTTGTACCGTAATGAACATTTTCAATGCAATCAATAATACATTTTGGTTAATTCTATCATTTAAAAAAGATTTTCTTTTTTTTTCTCTTCGAACAAAAAATTATTTTACTATGTTTATGAATTGTTCTTTGTTATTATCATTGCATTTACAATCAACAAAATTCTTTGCACTACAATCAAAAAAATAAAATTTAGATGTATGATGGTATTACGAATGCCCTGAATTATGCAAATGAGACTGATACTACAGTGACTGCATTTATCGGTAGGTAATTTTGCCATGTAGCATTCAACATAGCACTATTTTCATTTCCAAGCATTCCTCAAATTTCAAACATCTTTGTCAATTTTATTTTGTTAGAAATTGCTGCATTCTAGGAACTAAAAGTTTTAATTGACAGGATCAGGCCAGTATTTTTGTAGCGGTAACGATTTAACAAATTTCACTGAAGTCACTGGTCTCGAGGACATACCACGTATGATTTCTAAAACAAGTCAAATACTCAGTTCATACGTTGCTGCTTATATTAACCATAAAAAAGCCTTAGTCGCACTGATAAATGGTCCTGCAATTGGTATTGCTGTTACTGTATTACCTTTATTTGACTTAGTTCTTGCTTCTGATAAAGTTTGTTGAAAATTAACCTTCTTTTTCATTTTAACAACTGTTTTTCTTTCTTTTTTTTTTTATTACTACCATTATTATTTAAGGAAATTTCCGCCTGAATATAAATCAAAATTTTAGGCAATATTCAGTACACCGTTCACAATTTTGGGACAATCTCCGGAAGGTTGTTCATCGTATACATTCCCAATGATAATGGGACACAGTAAGGTTGGTAATGATATAAACAATAAGTTAATAAGCCAATAAATAAGTGATTTTACAACAAACATGAATGAAAAATGATTTCAAATTATATCATAACTCAAGATTATTATCAAATAACTATATGACAAAACTACAAACTTTTGCCTCACAATAAATGATATAAATTGAAATAAATTCACCACATATTTTTTATCCTCAAATTATTTCAGGCATCAGAAGTCTTAATTTTTGATAAAAAAATTAACCGCCCAAGAAGTATATGAGCGAAACCTGGTATGTCAAGTGATGTCATCATTCATTTTTCGAGAAGAGGCAGAAATTTATGTGCGAAAGATATCCCAATTGCCACCTGAATCACTAATCTGTAACAAAGAATTACTTCGAAACATACATCGTGAGGCACTTCATGCACAAAACGAACGTGAGGTTTCTCTTCTGATGCAGCGTTTTCAAAGTGTCGAATGTATGAATGCAATACAACAATTTTTGATGAGAAAAAAGTGATATTTTTAAGATTTTTTTTTTCAGAATACAAATCTTATTTTAAATTTATAACTTAAAAATTAAAGTAAATAAGGGATTTGAATGTTTATCTGAAGCAAGCATATTTAATACAGTTTTTCTGGGACAGTTCCTTACGAAAGAATCAGAAATAGAAAATCTGGCCAAACTTCGGCATAACTTCAACATGAATAAGCATCGGCATAACTTTCCCGAATGTAACAAATGAAGAAAAAAAATGAAACAACTAAATATATAAAACAGTTTCCCTACTCTACTCTGGTAAATTATTTACAAAAAACAAGGCGATCCGTGTTTTTCTCAAATTTCCAAAAGATTCTGTATATTCCTTTAAAAAAATCTAATTTTATAATAGAATCCATCTTTCGATCAAATTTTTTTTCGTTTTTTTTTTTTTTGTCCTAACAATATTTCGATATTATAATCTAAAAGAATGTTTTGTAAAAGAAATGCATCAGGAAGGATAATCATAAACAATTTTAGTAACTCAACGTCAAAAATGCTCGTTCCAATAAATATTTTATGCTTAATAAATATGTTCCTTACATCACCTAATGTTTGACGAGAACGTTTCTCTGAATGTTTATAGGAACTGCCAAAATCGATCATTCTGAACTAGCTTCTCCTCTCTCCATCATTTGTAGCAGTAGCAATACGATCATTTTTTAGAAGATTGATACACGTCTGTGTTTCACAATCTTTTGTGGCACCATCTAGCAAAATCATTTTTTGCTCAGCACATTTATCGCAAGCAGGAATTCGTATCACAATGTATTGTGGTTCCTGGAATGTTTGTAAATGAATTTTTAAAAATTCGTTTGAAATCTAACATTCAAAAAACATAAAAAAGTAAAGTAAGAGATGAGAATCTGCATGATGTTTATTATGCTGCTGCAATGTAATCACAACTCTTACAAAATTATGCCACTTCGTTTTTGGATTACTTTTCTCCATTTATGATTTGCCTATTCATCATGTAGAATTATTACTTATGTGGAGTTCAGTTAGTTACTTTTTCAATTACGAACAGTTGCTTTTCATAGCTTTAACATAATTACATTTAGGAATTAAAGAAATCAGCGAATTTTAGAATTATGATAATAATTTCAGGAAAGAAAAAATCTTCTGATAAACTTTTCGATCACATACAACACAGCAAAAATTTGGCTCTTCCTACTTATGACAACCATTCGCTGGAGTAACTTTAATACCTGGAACTATATTGCTAACCATCAATTTCAAATTTAAAAGACAAAAAAATGAGCATCAAATAGAAGATACACACCTGGAATCTGGGAAATGCATCTTCGGCCATTAATATTTTTTGATATAGTATCTTCACCAACACTTTCAGAAGATAAAGTTCTAGCTCTTTCACTATATGATTCATGATCACTACGTTTCCCAGAACTTTCATCTAAAAAAGCAATTTACCATAGGTGATCTCCAACTTTAATAAAACAGAAGATATTGAAAATAAGAACTGTGTTAAAATTATGGAAGCTTACCATGAAGCAATCGCATTTCATCTTCACTAACCCACTCGAAATGGCCATCACTGAACTGCACTTTATATCCTCCACTTTGCTTACAGTACTTAATTGTAGCCGAATATATTTTACCATCTCGTTTAATTTCAACTTCAGTGCCTATTAACGATAGTTGTGATTCAACATGGTGATCTTCTGAAACAATTATCATTAGCATCCTTATTTTTTAAATAAAACGAAATCTTTTTTTTTTTCTTTTAAACTAAAACACAGGAAAAAACAAATTCAGACGACTGGTGAAATCAATTTCGATAACATAACAATAAAGTAAACTCAATAAAATCCAATAAATAAAAATACTAAAATTTTACCACTGACAAGAACTGTTTTTGAAGCACTAGATGTTGGCGGTTCCACTGAAGTATTCTGAAATGACTGATTATTTAATTTCTTAGTTAAATGTGAATACAAATCCTAAGGAAATATTTTTTGAGAATAAAAAAATACAGGTAAAAAATTTGGTGAAAATTCCACACAGCCAACATCTTCCATTCTTCGCTTTTTTGTTGTCACCACTTCATTTCTGCAAATGACATATTTTCACTTCAATCTCCGATTCAAAAAGCAAAAATGCACCTTAGAAAATAGTAACTCTTTCTTCACAATAGAATTTATTTCTTAAACTGTATACTTCGATTTTTTTTTTTTTTTTTAATTATACATTTAAATCCTTAAGCAATAGGGTTTATCACAGCAGACCGATATAAAACACAGCAAACAGATATATAAAAGTTTACGATTCCATGGCCATCTGAATGATTCGTTGCAAAGTTTCGTCAGTTAAATTGTCGACATCAATATTATGCAACGCTAGGTCCCTCGGTGTAAACTGAAATTTCAAATGTACCGTAAGATGTTAATAAATATTAGCGATAAGATTCAAAATAAACATTATCTTGATATTTCTCAATCATTAGATCTTAAACTATTGAAGCATTACGCAAAATCAATTAAGTGGATTAAAGTCTTGGTAAAGTTAGTTAAAAATAATTATTTAATGAATAACGGAACTGAAGAACATACAAAATATTCCTTCTGAAGTGTAGCATCCGTAAGTTTCAATGAGCCATCATCCAGAATATACAATGTTAAACGATCTCCAGCATCGGATGAAGAACTAGACATACCATTAGAATAAGAAGAATGCGGTATATCAATATGCTCATGTTTCAACTCATTCTGTTGAGTTGCACCATTTGGTTCAATCAGAGACATAATTGTATTTATTTGATCTTCTGTTAATTCACCTGAATTCTCTATATCGATACCGGCTACCTCCAACACTTCCAATGGAACCTGAAATATGCTGAAATTTTCTTAAGCTCAAAAATTTCAATTTAAATTTTGAATCTAACAAGCTCTAAGTGAAGTTAGATGAATTGCTGAGACACGTCATATTAATTACGAATTTCAAGGAATGACTTAAGAATATATAGAACCAATAAAAGTACATTAATTATCGCAGGCAACGCTCCATAACGCATATAGAGATATCTAACTGGAACAATATCCTATCCGGTCCTAATAGTTGAATAATGTTGAAATATAAGAAAATAGAGCCTGCAAAGCTTCAAAGAAATGCAAAAACTTGTCGTATCGTATCAACTAATAATAGGAAATTCTAAACTGCTAGTAGCATTACCAGTGGACTACTTTCAAAGTCTTTGAACAGTAAAATAAAAATAAACAAATAAAAGTTTACCTTCCTTTACCATGCCACTTAAAAGACATATTTGGCATACAGATGTACAATTTGAGAAGTCAATGAAAAAAATTGACCACAGTAGAAATATTTGAATTTTCTGTAGTTTACAGTCAACTTTAAACTTAAATAAAAATCTTGAAAAATGTGCAGAGAAAAAAATGTCTTACCGATTTGTAATGCATTTTCCACATATAATGAGCTCGCTTCTTTCTTATCAAATTGTCCACTAACTGCTATACGCAGATTATTCAGTTATTTCTCCAATGATATCATCCTGTCAAGAGACTAATTTAAATTAAAATTAACTAATTTCAGATATTCAATATTATTCATTTCAGGATGATAAGATTAATGTCACATTATCGTATATTACTCAGGCAAATACTTATTTTAGTGGAAGCAAGATGAAGAAATTAATACATATTTTGCTCTTTCCCTCTTAAAGGTGATACGTTCATTTTATTAAAATACATGTTAGTTAGTCCCTTGGGTTACTGTAAGCGGAAAATTGTCATTTTTAAAAATTGCACGTTCGAGCAGTGCGACTAGACTGCCCCGCTCATTGTTCAATAGCAATAGAAGCAGTCCACATTTGAAGGAACAGAAAGAGAAAGAGTCTCTCCCTCTCTCTCTCCCTCTCCCTCTCCCTCTCTCTCTCTCCCTCTCCCTCTCTCTCTCTCCCTCTCTCTCTCTCTTTCTATTCCTATCTTTTTATATTAATGTCCATTTAATCATAAATTATTTTACTGTATTATTTCTTCATATTTTAATTATTTGTCATAGGAATTATTAATTATAATAAAAATGATTTCTTTCTAGATATAATTCTTACTAATAATCTATCATTATTAATAATCTACAGTTAATTATCAACAGAACTACGGGATATTTCAAATAAAATGTTCTTTATACCTTCCATATTGATGAAAAGGAATGAACCATTATCTGTCATTTGGTTAGTTCATTTAATAATTTTATTCTAAAGAAAGTTACGTATTGTAGTATATTGTACTGTTATTGAATTTTTATTTGTAAATGATAACATTTATAGTTATAGTTAAAACTAATTTGAAATACTTGATCTTTAATTAATACTTAATTGGTTTTTGATTTCACAATAATTTTGTATATATATTTTATGAAGAATTTAATTTCAAAACGATAATAATACTTGAAAATTAAAATTCATTAAAATTTTTGGATCAGAGTTTAATTTTAGAAAAGCAATAATTAGTAGTAATATAAGAATGATAGTACTGTTATGAAAGCAAATTAATAATATTTGTTAAAATTTTATACTAATTGTATTATCAAAGTTAAATATGAATTTATGGTTTAGTAATCCATAAAATTTCACAACTATTTGTGATTAATTTCATCTTTAAACGAATTGTTTTTCAATTGGTATTAGCTTAATTATATCATATGAATTTATGATTCAATGAATTCTTACTTTATTAGTGAATTCTTACAACTGGTAAGAGATGTGACACATTTAAATCAATAGTTTCACATATTTTCAGGCGAATTGTATTTGATGAGAAATGGCGACCACCACGAAAAATTATTTTAGAGATAAATATAGAAAGGGCTTGGTTAGGTTATAATCATTATTATTATTTTATTCTTGTTTATTAATATTATCAAAAATCATATGAATTTGAATTTATGGTACAAAGAGAGCTGGAAGATACGAATGTATTTCAGTAACTTTTTTTATTGTTTGGTTTTGTGAATAGTAATTGATTGGTTTTTTTTTTTTTTTTTTTTTTTTTGCGAACTTCTGATTGGAAAAATACCAAATGGTAATCCGGGTGAAATTAAATTTTCTCTCTATCTACTTGCACAACTTTCTTATGGCATTGCGTTAATTGTACAAAAACGCGGAGATATTCTATGCAGTAAGTTTGTGCAATTAGATTTTTGGAAAATATCACTTTTTTTTTTGCATAAAGTGATTAATGAATATTAGTTTTGAAATATTTTATAATTCAGGAGATATGGAAACATTTATTCCAATTATACGCCGCTATCAATATGAGAATAAAGATGAGTGTGTTTTTTCTTTTATTTTAAATAATTTTCTTATCTTTTTTGGTTCTGATTTAGGTCGTTATTTTCTGTTATAATGTTTAGGAAATAAAATTAAATATTGCGTTTTTCTTTCTTTTTTTTTCTTTAGAAATATAAATTTTGAACTGTTACAGATCTACTATGAAAGGTAAGAAAGATCGGAAGAAACGTGCACCAAAACGAAATGATTTTCTTATTTTGGATTCTTCATTTGAGACTATTGTAAGAACTTCTTTCATTTTTATGATTTTATTTCTGTCATTGATCATTTCTAAGAACTTAGTCTTTATGAAGTATAATGCAAAAATTTTTTTAAATTTTCTAGTAATATCATCTCATTAACTTTATTTAAAATATGATGTATACATATAAACTTTTTTATTTCACTTTAAAATGATTTTATATTTTAAAGGAAAGTGAACATTTGAAGATCGTACTCGATTACAGCGCAATTACATTACATGAAGATATACCACTTCCAGAAATTGACACTCTGTTTAATGATGATTTTGGACCACTAACTGAAGCTGAAGCTCAACAAATGTAATTAACTGTTTAAAAATTCCATTCATAATTAGATCATTTTTAATTAATTGTAAGAATTAAACTATCAGTTTATTTATTTCTATAATTGTAATTCTTTTTTTATTTTTAATCAATTAATTAATAAGATATTTCAGTAAGCTTTTTTCTAATTGCAAATTTCATTTTATTTATCAGGGAAGCTCTTTTGAAAGACGATAGCGAGCATATTGAAAGAAAATCAAAAAGCATAAATGAATCCAAAGAAATTGTGAATATAATTCCTGAAGCATTAGCGAATGAGGCAGATGTTAATAAAGCGACACATGAAGTAAAAGTTTTCTATGCTAATAGATCGAGATGATCTAATGCAGAGAAATTTAAAAAAGTTCTATTCTTGTAAAAATCTCTTTTTATTATAGATGAAAAAGTAAGATTTGCTTATGATGTAAAATTATTAATTTTGTTATAAAATAGGCATTTGAAATGATGGAAGTAAGCGACGAAAACGAGATTCGTAAAGAGAGGCAATACGATTTAACATCTGATGAAGCTTTACAAGAACCAGAAATCAAGCATCCACCATGCTTATCAGTAAATTTATATGATAATTATGCTTCATTTTTTGTTTAACGATTTAATTTAGAGATATATCAATCTTTTAGTTTTAGCTTTCCTTGCCAAGAATTTCATTCAACATAGTTACGAAGAAAAAAAAAATAAGGAAAATATACTTTAAATTATGATACAATTCATTTCGACTACTGCAATATCATATAAGTGTTTATTTTCTTTAGTAGTAATATTTAAGGGATAATTTTTGAAATATCATTTCAGAATTCATTATCTTAATTCAACTTTGTTTTTTTAGATACTTGAATTGAGTGATGTTCATGACTCACAAATCATAATTCCAAAAAAGAAACGCCGCAAGAATGGCATCATTATTGATGAATTAACAATGTTCAACAAGGTTGATTTTATTATATTTTCCAATAAAATCGAAAAAATTACTTTAACAAATTAAATATTTCTCAAATGTTTCAGGCACAACTTCAAGCTCAGATTGATTGTATTGATGACCTGTTGCATACACGTGATGAAATGATTCCTCAAATATCAAAACGTGGAGCGGTAACAGTTCAAGATTTATTTAATGTTCGTCCAATGACATTACGTGGTGAAATTTTTGTCACTGATTCTGTTGTTTTAATTTAATGTGACTCTCTTTAACTTGGCAGTTTCTCTTTTTTGAGTGATAATGTTTTTGTAATTATTTATTGTATTCCTTAAAACATATTTATGAAATGTTATAATGTTGTGATTTACTAAAAGAAGCCATAACTTATTGTACTTTAGAACTCATTATTAGACAATATTCATTGCTATAAAAAATTGAAAATTAATTAAGGTTCAAACATTGGTTTTATGCAGAATTATGAAATTTGAAAAATGTTTTAATAAGAATTTACGTGATTCATTTAATCTTCCAAATTAAAAAAAGAAAAAAACATTTCATAAGTTTGTTGCAGAATTTGCGAAAAATCCTATGTCAAATTTGGATGCATGGATATCAGCACCGGAATATGATGAGCCACCACTTCAGTATAAAGATGCAATGCAGTTAGAACCAATGCAGGCGCCACCAATGCGAACGTTACATCATTTTTCAGATGGAAGAGAAACATTAACCGATTCTACATCACATGAATCCGTAAAAATTAATCTGCAAGATCTGGAACGACAAACTGTTACACCAATGATGGAGGATATTGAGCAAGGACGACGAAATACCACTTCCACGGCACCTTTTGGTAGCACAGTATGTAGTAATAATTAATTATATTACATAATTTCTAAATTGCTCATATAGGATATCAGCATTATTTCAACAATCAGTCTCAACATTTCTCGTCAGATTAATTTAATAATTTTATGCCAGAATTTTTTTTTTTGACAGCATCTTCTGAGAGAAGAAAAGAGAAAAAAAAGAACAAAAAATTGTAATACGTTAGAATTAGACATTTCAAGAGCATTTTTTTAGTACAATATTCCAAATACCTCCAAAGATTTTGCTTTAAATATTTCTTATTTGTTGATTGTAATTGTTATCATATGAATTGTTTCAAATGTCGAATCATTTCAGCGTACCACTACCGATCCTTCATCACAGCTCAGATCAGATGGTGGATTACCTGTTGCCTCTAGCGAAAATCGACTAGCTGATGAGAAAATGAAAATATCCGTGGCTACCATTTTTGAAAGAACTGCTGAAGAGGAGGTATAAATTCAAAAAATTAAAGGAAAAAAGAAAAAAAAATTGCGAATATCTAAGTAATTGCTATCAATTATTATGTTTCAAAAACTACCCAATTATTTCAAACATATCATCTGATAATCATATAATTAGACGTTAGATATTTCTCTGTTTATGGCTATTAATCTATTTCGATTAATTTATTCGTACCTAAGATTACACTAAATTCTGACTGCAATGAACTGGTCAATCTTCAACGATTTTTTTTGCGCATGCTTAGATCTTCTAAAATAAACATTCTGTAGTATTCTAATATCCAATTATTGCTACTTTCATATTACATTATGCTGCTCAAATTGTTAGCAATCGCTAATAAATTATAGAACTTTTCGAAAAGCAAATCCTTTTCGGAAAGAAAAGTTTTACTAAAGTTCAATCTAAGTGTAGGAATTATCCTAGATATCTCATCTGCATAATTTATAATTGATAATATCACTTTTTAATTTGTAGCGTATGGATGACAGTTTCACTTTGTTAGCGGAAAAACCGCGAGTGACAGATTTATTTTCAAATTTGACGATTGGTAAGTGTAACAGAATCTTTAATGTTGATCATTATAGTAGATTTTTCTGCTTCATATTTATAATAAGTCACAAATTAGTCAGTTTTTTTCTTTTTCGACTTTAATTTATAATTTTTAGAATCTGAATTACGTGGGACGAAACTGGAAAGTAGCACTGAAAATATTCTTGTTGGTATGTTTTCTCATAATTGAAGTAAACCACATGTGTTAGTTATGGATTTATTCTAGATTATTATGAGTTAAAAGCATTAAATGTGCATATTTATGAATTAAAAAGAAAAGAGTTATTATAGATGAGAGATATTCTGAATGTGAAATACGTCAAGAAGAATATCAAAATGAGCGGAATATTCCAAAGATCTCAGTGATGCAGGATCGATTTCAGTTGAAAGTTAGTAAGAGGAAAAGTACGTTGGAGACAGATGACAGTTCCCTTCCAAATTACTATCAAACACAGAGCGCTCATGATCTTTTTGGGTATTATTTTTATTTGTTAATACATAATGGCTTAAGGATACTTTTAGTTCACTTAATTATAATATCATTGATAGTCAGCTAAAATGAATTTCGGTTTTAGAATTACATTAACATTCCTCAGATATTACTCTCAATTATCTAGGATTTCATTTTTGAACTCAAAGCTATTTTTAATAAATATAAATTGAAACTACATTTTAGATATAAGGTTTTGCAGATTGATAACTGAATTTCTCAATTCTCACGAGGCTTCATCTCTATGTTTTTCGGAATTAATTCGTGGTCACACTGCGGTATTTGCAGCTAAAGCTTTTACAAATTTGTTGGGTGTGTTTTTATTTATTTAATTTTTGCTTTATAAATTATAATTATTGAACTGAAAGATTCTGAATGATTAATAATATCATTTCAAAGATAATATTATAGCATTGTCCTAAATTTTGTCTACATTATTTATATGTTGGTTTTTGCTGATAGCGTCAGAGATTAAAGGATTTGCTTCCATATTTTTTTATTTCTTTTAAGAAATAATAACAATTTTAGAGTTGTTGGCAAAGCAAAAAGTTAAGGTCGAACAGGAGGAAAATTTTGCCGAAATTGTCATTCGACTTCAATAAATTCACTTCTGAAGGCTGTTTATCTTGATTTTGTGAATAGTGCTCTAATACTTTGTTATTCCTTTTTTTTTAAAAAAAAATGAAAAGAGTCACCTTGTAAGAATATTAAAATATCTTTATGTAAAAACATTTAAATATAAATGTCTAAGTTCTTTCCTTCTTTTACTATGGAATTATATTTTGCCATTTTGTACTTCATTGTCCTTTGTTAAATTGTATCGCATATGTTACTTTGTGAATATTTGATGATTATATTAATAGAAGATAGAAATCTTTGTATTTTTGTGATTATACGATGATATTAATGGAAGAAAATTTTTATGTTACATAATTATGTAATTTTCTTTCTCTTCTAATCTGTATTTCTGTGCATAAAGTTTTTCAACTATATAATGTATATGAAACAAATTTGTTTCTGTTAAAGTTAAACTTTATTTTGTTTAAGATCTCTCCCTTCCCATCTATGTCATCTTTTTGAGCACTTTGAATTTGAATTTGCATACTGAAAATGCATTGCATGATTATATACATGATCACATTTGTTTTCTTCTTTCTAATCTAATATGCAAATTAATCCAATGCATTATTCTCAGCTGTGTATAATTAAAATAATCATTGTGTCAAATAAATTTTATCAAATATTTTCTATTTTATATCTAGTAATCAGACATAGTTCTAATACAAATTGAATAATCATAGTTTTTGAACTATCATAATCAGTTATCTTCTCTTTCAAGCATTATCAGTTTCAAACATTTGAAATTAATTATTTCGAAAGATTAACATAACTGTACGAGAAAAAGATTAAAAAAACCAGATGGTCACATATTTCTACAAATTTACCAACTAAACGGAAAGTGCAATTTAAAATTAACCTGTCTTAATCTTATGACATCTAAGAGATATTTGTGCATTACTTTTGCGAACTAATAAATTATCAATTTCAGTTTTAATTAAGTGTCAAAACTACTAAAAGTAGCAATATTTTATGCTTAATTGACTATGCTGTGTGCATTGCGCTAGAACTGGTCATATATGGTGTGGTCATTTTATAGTTTAAATATTTAAATACACTTTTGCAATTAAGTTTTGCGCAAAAAATCATCAGCAAAATTAATAAAACTTTCAATTAATAATGGTTTTAATTAAATTTAAGAATTAAAATTAAATTTTATTTCAAATTTAAATTTTGAATTTTTTAAAAATTTTAAAATTTGTAATAGTTTTCGTACATTAAACAAGGAAATTGGTTCTAAATTATCAATTTCAATTTTAATTAAGTGTCAAAACTACTAAAAATAGCAATATTTTATACTTAATTGACTATGCTGTATGTATTGCACCAGGGCGGGTCACATATATGGTATGGTCATTTTGATGTTTAAATATTAAAATACGCTTTTGTAATTAAGTTTTCGCAAAAATTCATCAGCAAAATTAATTAAATTTTTAATTTTTCACGATTCTAGTTCATTCTTACAATTAAAATTAATTTATATTTCAAATTTAAATAACCCATTTGTAAAAATACCACAATTTGTAAATGTATTAAACTAGGTAAGAAGTCTTACTACCATCAAAATTTAATTTTAAAGGATGTTAAAACTATTAAAAAATATCATTTAATAAAAAAATTGTTATTATATACGCATAGTGCGGGAACTGGTCACATGCATTGTGGTCATTTGACATCTTAAATAATAAAATAATGCTTAGGCTTAGGCTTAGGGTATACTTAGGCTTAGGCTTAGGATATACTTAGCCTTAGGCTTAGGATATACTTAGGCTTAGGTTTAAGCTTTATTTCAAATCTGAAAATTGATTTTGGTGAAAATTTTATAATTTGCAAGAGTTTTTGTATATTAAAGGGGGAAAGAATTTCTAGTTTTATCAATTTTGATTTTAATTAAATTTTCATTGATTTTAATTTAAATTTAATATTCGAGAAGTGATATTAATAAAATTTTTAATTTATCGTAGATTTAATTCATTTCTGCAGCTAAAATTAGTTTTCGCTTGAAATTTTAGGATCGAATTTTATGAAAATTTTATGATTTGCAATGAATCAAAACCTTTTTTGTATATTAGACTACGAACTAATTTCTAGTAATATCAAATTTTACTTTAATTAAATGTTAAAACTGTTAAAAAATATATATTCATTAAAAAGGTCAGATATTTCGAGCTTAATTGATTAATTTTTATGCATTACATGGGTACCGGTCATTTATAATTGGTCAATTGATCAGCATGAATAATAAAATAAACTTTAAAAATTAAGTTTCAATAAATATTAACTAGCGGAATTGATTAAATCTTTAATTTATCACGGTTTTAATTCATTCTTACAATTCAAATTAATTTCTATTTCAAACCAGTACTTATGTAACGCTTATAAATTAATAAATTAAGTTCAAGTCATATAATTTTTTTTAATGATTCGATTCTTTTCAATATTTTGACATTTAATTAAAATGATTTTTTGATATTGCTAGAATTTATTTCATAGTTTAATGTACAAAACCCTAACAAATTATTGAATTTTCATAAAATTTGATATTTAAATTTGAAATAGAAATTAATTTGAATTGTAAGAATGAATTAAAACCGTGATAAATTAATGATTTAATCAATTCCGCAAGTCAAATATTTATTGATACTTAATTTTTAAAGTTTATTTTATTATTCATGCTGATCAATTGACCAATTATAAATGACCAGTACCCATGTAATGCACAAAAATTAATCAATTAAGCTCGAAATATCTGACTTTTTTTAATGAATATATATTTTTTAACAGTTTTAACATTTAATTAAAATCAAATTTGATATTACTAGAAATTATTTCGTAGTCTAATATACAAAAAAGGTTTTGATTCATTGCAAATCATAAAATTTTCATAAATTTCGATCTTAAAATTTCAAACAAAAACTAATTTAGCTGCAGAAATGAATTAAATCTACGATAAATTAAAAATTTTATTAATATCACTTCTCGAATATTAAAAAAAATTTAGTTATTAAAGTTTATTTTCTTATTTATATATCCTTACCTTTCTGTCGCATTATGCTTGAGGAAATTAATTGAAGAAATTAATTAGATAAAGTTTTGAGCAGTTAATACTTATTTGATTGCTCTTATTTGAAAAAAGTACTTATTTGAAAGAAAAAAACATGTTAATCACATTGATAGCGGTGAAAAGAATGGAGCGTTCTGTAGGATTTGTAATCAGAATGAAATTTTCAATTTATTTTTTTATTTCGATTCAAAAATTAATCTCGTAAGTGCCAATCTCCCAATACCTGTTCAACGAAAAAATTTCACAATTACATCCATCATTCAGAGCATCGTAGATTTTAAATTTCGTTTCTCTTTTATTCGTCGGATGTTCCAAGCTTTGTACAAATTTTCCGGATCGTTTCATCACATATATTACTTTTGCGACCTAACGCTTTACGCTGTTGAATATGTTTGCTCTTTGCTTCCTGTAATTTAGACAAAGTTCACTTCAAAATTTTTAAGACATGGATCTGTCGAAAGATAGGATATGATGTGCTAAATCAATGAAAAATACTGAATCCAACTTTGTTGGAGCTTATTTTAGGCTTCTCCTCACTTTTTGTTGTTTTGGCTCGACAAGACATCTGTTGATTGTCTGAACAATTAGCTTTGAAAAGGCTGCTTTTGTTTCTTTTTCCATGTCTGATGTTTTCAGTTATGTTGTAAACCTCATGTAAACGATTTGTAGGAGTCTAAGAGAGAATTGTTATGATTTGCTTTGAAGATAAAGAATTTTATCAAAATTGATCTACAAAGGCCTTTTTTCTTTTAAAAAGTTTTTTCTTTTTCTTTGTCTCTTTCGGGAAATGGATGGTAGCCAACTGACAATAGAAATAGAATTTACTACCACAGCAGAAAGCTCACTGCCTAAGAGAATTTACGATTTCTTCCCTCTGCTCATCATTTCTATCCTCAGCTGTGAACATTAAGAATCGCAATACCTGTAAGGAGCAAGCAGTTGTCTCAAATTGCTGTTGAAAGAGCGCTTTACAAATAAGTTTCTTTAGTTCTTAATGCTTCTTATATCAAGCAATTGAGAAGTAATTGCCTTACTTACTTGATCGCTGTATTCGTGATCTTTTTCACTGATACGTCGCAATGGACCGATGGGTGCAAGCACTGCGAATGCATCTGAATGCTTTCTTGTATTCGATTAGGAATCAATTCAATCTCTTTATGGAATAATTAAGATTAGAATGTTTTATCCTTTCTAAAAGATACAATTTATCCTTTTTCTTTGAATTTCAGTTTTCTCAAGTCTTTCCTCTTTTCTGGTCATTTTGATCAACGGTCTAATTTGTTGCAACGATTCTGCAACTTACAGGAGTTGCAGAATCGTTGCAACAAATTATAGGAGAGGCAATCTGAAAGTGAATTGCTTTGAACAAGTCTCTAAAATATTCTACTATCACGTACGTTGTTATTCTTATGATCAATATGATAAATGATAATTAATGATATAGTATAGTTGGGCCAATGCCATCTGAAATTCACTGAAGAGAATTCCTTAACTTTTTAACTCATTAGCTTCTAAACTTCGACATCTCTTGCTTTTCAGTAAATTGAAGCGTTAAGTTCACTGACAAAAAATATTTTATAAAGCGTTCTCTGAAGGCAGTGATAATGAGCACTTGTGGTAATAACGCAGTTTGTTGCACGAATGTATTTTTTATAAAGTGACACCTCTTTGTACATCGTTCTGATGCAATTAATTAATAATTGATGCTATTTGATTCAGCCTGCCTCTTCCGGACTTCAGATTCAGATACAAGTTGCAGTCACTCTTGGTTGGGTAATCTTTACCGATTGTTATTTTGATTTATGTTTGTAATTCGGTTTTTAGTGCAAAATTTATTATAGCTAGCATCAACACGCATCCGATTCCATTTATCTGTGAATTTAAACATACTATGTAAAGCGATTCGAGCTACTGTGAGCTAGAAGCATATTGACTGAGAGAGAAGCAGTCTCAAGTTCCAAGATTCATTTTTGCATGACATTCACCAAGATCAATCCCCCTAGAGAATTCGACCGGCGAATCTCAGTGATCTCAACTACAATTGCAATTATTCCGCGGCATTCGGCAAGCCTTTACTATGAAATTGATTTTTCTTTGTTTTAAATCATTACCCATAAATGTAAGATAAACAACTTATCACTTAATGCAATGACAGTGAAGAACATTCGCTGTGGTGTTTCGTTCGAATCATCAATCTAATAGAAGAAAGTAAAGGTCAAATGAAGTCAATAAAGTTTCATTGCTGTGCAATCCAATTTTCTGACTACTTGCAAGTTTCGAGAGCTCTAACCATCCCGTCGACAATTTCATTTTCGGTTGTATGATTACGGACGGATCGAGCTTATAATAGAAGACAGAATTCGAATCCTTTTTGATATGATATACCAGTCCAATTAGCGTCAACATTATATTAAAAGTGACAGGAATCAGCAATTTCTCAACTGAAAATACTTTTCACTATCTCTCCAAACATTGTTCGGCTGTAATTTCAGCTCCAAGTGTAGCAGTCGCTCCATGATGTATTTGCTAATGATACTCGATAGTGACAGCTATCACATTTCATATGCTGTAACACTATTTTAGAGATTCCCATCTTGATAGAAATATTTTTTTTTAAAAAAAAAAAATTCAAGTAATTTCAAATTTGCTGCTAGTTTTTATTGCAACCAACTGAATTTTTCATTCAAAATAATTTTTAATGTAGTTGAAATAAGAGTTTAATGAAGAGAGAGATATAGAAGTGCAATAAATGTTCGGCTGTACTGTTGAATGGTATTGCATGTTTTATGTGTTCTTCTTTGATAGGTCTTTTTAACGAAAGAAAATATTTTGTGCTTCATTTCATTTTTCTTTTCTTTTTTTTTGAAGCTTTCAACGTTTTGTTGATTAGAAATATTTCATTTTTGACAAAAAAATAAGTGGTCTTTCGAGATGGTCTGTTTTTATTTTTCTAGGCTGTTCTTATTTTCTAGTTTGGACTCAAACCAGTTTAAGTAGATAATCACTTTTAGTTTAACTAATTTGGCTCTACTGCCATGAAAATATTTGTGTTTGTGGAGACAAAGAATGAAGGAAGGAAGTGGAATTTTATTGCCAATTAGTACATTTATGCATTTCTGCGATATTCATGGAATAATAAACAGAGAAGAAATATTAAAAAAATCCAATGGTAAAATGAAATCATTAATCGGTCGCTACAATCTGATGCCTCGAAAACGTCCGATTGTTACGTTCTTTTCTCATGCTTGCGAAGAATGCCCAAATTGTGTCCCGTTTTCTAGAATGAAAATTTTTAGTTTTGTAACGCCAAAAAAAAAAAAAAAATAATAATAATTGCAGTTTGTCGCAGTTTGGCTTTGTGGATAGAATAATATGCTTTTCTGCATACATTCCACGAATTAGAAAAATAAAGCAATTTGGTTAAGAGTGAAAGGATATTTTTTCCTCTTTTGAATATTTATTGATGTATATTGAAGCGCCATTGTCACCACTGTCAACACATTTTTAAGCAATCAGTTCTTAGGTCGTGGGTAGTAGTACTGAGTGCGAAAAAAAAAAATATATATATATATATATATATATATAGCATCTTAATGAGTTTGTGTAATGAATTTTGTATTGTCACTCAACGGTCACAAATCTTTCATAACACACTTCACGTACATTCTATTTTAGGCTGACTTAAGTTTTGTTAACTTTGGAAAACTAACGAGGAGCTCGGGAACACAATTTCTTGTGAAATTTTAATGCACTCATGCGATAAAAGAATTTACAATAGCCCTCGCATTGACAACGAGGTTCATGCGTTTCCTCGTGACTTCGAAATGATGATTTATAGTCGAATGTTCGCCCACAACCGGGCACTTTGCATTCATAAATGAACGGTTGGTCATGTGTTTCCTTATGTGTTAGATATTCTATGTAATTTTTCCTGATCACAGCATACCCGGGATAGAGACATTCATAGTTCAATTCGCCCAAAAAACTCTTATGATATTTGTTTTTGTTGTATTATAGCATTTGGCAACTAATTAAGTAATCTGATAAACCATAAAAATATCACTCTATGAAATAATCTTACCACATCTCATTTCAAATAATTTAGACTACAAAAAGCTATTTATTTATCTTCGCGTGTACAACAAACAGTGTAATTGTGAATTCTCGATTTTTCAGTCACCCAGCGTTCGCGCAAATGTTTCATAACACATTTTACACGCATGCTATTTCAGGATAACATATGCTTTTAAAATTCTGCTAAATTTGCAAACTAACCAGATTTTGTTTGGCAGTTCTTCTTGTGAGATTTCAGTGCATTCCTGCTGGTGAAGAATTTGCCACAGCCCTCGCATTGAGGATGAGGTTCATGCGTTTGCTTGTGATTGCAAAACGATGAATCATGGTGGAATGTTCGCCCACAACCGGGCACTCTACATTCAGAGATGAAGGGCTGATCGTGTGTTTTTCTATGTGTTATATATTCGTTGTAATTTTTTGCACATCCAGGATAAAGGCATTCATAACTTCGTCTATCTAAAAAAAAATTTACATTTGTTTTTGTAATTGACATTCCACTATGGTTAATTGAGTAATTTGATAAGCCATAAAAATATCACTTCCATGCCATATCCCGTTTCAAATAATTTAGATCACAAGAAGTTATTTATTTATCTTGGTGTATAGCTACAACATCCGTTGTATTGTCACTCAACGGTCACAGATGTTTCATAACACATTTCAATTTTATTTCAGGCTAATAAAATTTGCAAACTAACGAAATTTTGTTGGGCAGTGCTTCTTGTGTTTTTGTAGCCCATTCCTGGTATTGAAGAATTTGCTACAGCACTCGCATTGGTAATGAGATTCATGCGTTTGCTTGTGATTGTAAAATGATGGTTTACGATCGAATGTCCCCGTCCACAACCGGGCACTCTACATTCATAGATGAAGGGTTGACCATGTGCTTTCCTATGTGCTACATATTCTTTGTAATCTTTTGTAACCATAGTACATCCGCGATAGACACATTCGTAGCTTCGTTCCTCTAAAAAACTCTTATGATATTGGTCTTTGCAATTATTAATCCATGTGATAAATCATAAAAATATCAGTGCATAAAAAATTCTTCCTACAGAAGAGTTTGCCGCAATTTTTGCATTGATGCTTAGGTTGATGCGTTTGCATGTGACGACAAAATGATGATCTATGGTTGAATGTCCTCCCACAACCGGGAGCTCTGCATTCATAAATAAAAATTTGATTGTGCGCTTTCTTATGTGTTACGTATTCTTTGTAATTTTCCGTGATCACAGTACACCCGGGATAATACCAAATATACTTTCTGTTATCTGAAAAATTCATGTCAAAACATGTATTTTTGCAATTAATAAATCTATTACACCATTTTGTAGTTAAGTAATGTGAGAAATCACAAAAATCTCATTGCCACAAAAACAATATCATATCGAATTTTAAATAATTTAGGTAACAAGTAGTTATTTAATTATCTCTATTTACATGTTTTAAGCAGTAATCATACTTTTAATGTCGCATTCTGAACGACGAAATGAGTTTTGGTTTTTGATTCGTTATTACTTCTATCTTCAATTTCATGCTCTTAATGAAATTGAAGAACTATAAGAGATGGAACGAAAAGTCGTTGCGTAATTCATCATTATCTGTTTTTGATCCATTGGTACTCCCCCTGCAGTCGTTCAAGCTATCCAAGATGTGTTTATTATCGATGTTGCTCTCTTTAGTATTTCCATGTTGACCGGATGTGTCGTCTGAGGAAAGAGTAAGTTGGTGAAAATAGATCGGAACCGCATTTTGTTGTGAACCAGATAAGTGCATATATGTGATAATGTCATGGGTGTTGACATTAAGTGAGGAAGAATTTTCATTCTGAGCTTCTAAATAACTCAAATTACAAGAAGTTGTATTTATCTTTAAATGTATCTAAAATAAAACTCTCACCTCTAATGGAAGGATATCGCAGGTTATCATCACTCGTTTTTAATTCTTCGTTAGCATCTCGCCACAGATTCCTGTATGAGTCCATATCTGAGCTAAGTGATAACTCAAAATTATTGTGGCCATAGAAAGCCAGGATGAGGAGAATTTGTGATCTAATTAGTTTCAGATTTTGATTCTTCACTGCTTATATCCTCAGTTTCACTCAACTGAACGAAATCAATGAACTGTGAAGGATCGGATGGAAATTCTGAGCTAAATATTGGCTCGAAATTGAGGTAATCGAGAAATCCAAAGGTATCTGAGATGCCAGAATAAGTATTATTTGTAATAACTTCATTAGCGGTGTCGAAATTAGGTAGATGGAAAGTTTCATTATCAGAAGCGATGCATAGTAGAAGATTGAACGAAGTGATGGGTGTCATAAATATATTGAAGAACATGGTGAAACCACAATTTTGTGAGATGAAAGAAATGCTCAAATGGAAGCTTTTTATTTCAGATTGCTTGGAATTAATGACCAAAGGTTCAAATAGTTTTTAATCTGCATTGTGAAAAGTTAAAACCAAAGGTGAAATAGTTTTAAATCCGCATTGTAAAGTTTATAAATATTCTTTTGAAACCCGAAGGAAGCGCTGCAATAGCGTGTTCTACCATTTCAGTAATACGTGTACACTGAGTGACATCGTAAGAAATGGGATTCTGATGCATTTAATAAAATGGTTTGTTATACATACCACTAATAATATCACTGATAGAACTTCATCGGATAGACGCATCACTTTAAATTTGTTATTGTTGTTAAATTTGATAATTATTGCTTTTTGACATACATCCATAACTGTTCCTACTATTATAAAAGAGAATTTCAACATAAGCTGAAGCGGTATTTGATATTTGAAAGGATGAGACAAATTTCAAAAAAAAAAGTTTGGTTGATAAAATGGAGTAACATTTGCATAAAGGAAACCGGTGAATAGCTGGAACTAAATGTCATTGAAATATTTAATCTGTGCAGTATTCAATAATCCTGTCTACTTTGTTTAATAAAATATTGTATGTTGAGTGGTAAATAAAATATTGAATGAATTATTTGCATATTGTAAAAATTTTAGGTTTTAAATTTTGGTGACATCAATTAACTAACAACTGAATTATATTAGCCTGTTTACTGCTTATATAAGTATTGCTCTATTGGCAATATTGCTACTAATATTTTATTGGATTATTTGATTCAAAAATTTACCGATCATTTCCTTACTTTTTTTAATATTTATGCATTATTCTACATAAATATGAAATTCTTTTTCACATTAAGAGTTTGCAAGGTACTAAAG